TCTACACTGTGAAGAGGCTGACGCAGCTGCCCAACGTCAAACCGCACTACCTGTTCGATGCGCTCAACAATGCGCATGTAGCAATGATGAGAAACACCAAAAGAAGATACTTGTGATACAGAGCACCCCAACCCTACAGCCGTTTGCAACACTCACAGAAACGTCCCTAGCACAGCTTCGAACACAACAGCGAAACAAATACGAGAGATAGCACAGACGCCTTAGGTGTGGCAACCCCCAAAGCGGCAGCACACATGCCAGCAGGCAAGTTGTACAATTGTATTGTACAACTTGCTCGTGCATTCAACGCACAGTTATAAGTCGTATACAGCGTTGGGCGTAGACGCACGTTCGCTCTACTACTGCTGCTGAGCTGCATCGCAAGGATCTGTACTGTTCTTAGCACCCACTGAAATGCAGTGTCCGCAACCAAACCAAATACGCTTGCACTGTACCCGCTATTGTGCAGCTGTTGAGCATCGAGGCGCATTTGCAGTCTGATGCATTCCGCACCATGCATATCTCGTGTCAATAAGAAACCACAAACAGACGCAACGTCTTGTGTTTGGCTCGCATATGGTACAACCGTTCGCAACCTCCACATAGAGGATCCATCATTGTGCCTTGCATACAAGGAAGGAACAACAACTCGAGGCCTCACCGCGGGTCGCGCGGCAACACACTGCTTGTCGTAACACTTCCTGAGGGATCACTGCTTGCGCCACGCCCATGCAGGCAAGAGCTGCCTGTAGGAGCATGCCTGCTTCAGCCACTGCAGCTCACCCCTCCTTCCATCGTCTGCTCTAGCCTAAGTAATTTCTCTTTTAGCCTACTCTCATGCTGCGCGCGCTGATCAAGGAGGCCTAGCGAGTATGACTCCACTTTCCGCAGAGCATCCAAAGGAAACACGGGAGCGCGAACACAAAACAGTTGGACACAAGATGAGTAGGAAAACATAATTAAGGTACCACCATCCGAAGTGGAGGCGCCGGTGGCCAACCCTGCAAACATCAAACGAGTTGTCCCGTACACTTGCGCCACCAGTAAAAGACATCCATCCAGGCTTCATATCATAGTTGCTGGGCAGGCATTTATTGTGTCGATGGATACCTTGTCTGCTGCCCAGCAAGATGGGAACGGAAGGTCTGCCTCCAAAATAGTTCCTAGAAATTCAGAACATACATGTGCTAATGCCACCCACGACAACGTCTATCTTCTACAGAGAGCATGCCCGACTGACCCGAAACCCATCCTTGATCTTGCACTGCCTAGTGCATAAGGGAATGCACTGCCTTCGACTAATACAAAGGTGAGTACCACAGACACGTTAAACCCCCCTCCTCCCGTCGCACAGACTTGTAGCATAAACTCGCAGAGACAGAAATTCTGCGAACTGGCGCCCTAATAGGCCTGCTGCTGATGGCGATGCGGTGGAGAAAACACAACAGGTCTGTTCCCGGTAAGAGAAATCGGCCAAACCCGAAATCCGTCCAGAATTCAGCGGTGCTGAACCGCCATTGCCCAATGACACACTACTGCGACACATACACCTGTCGCATCCCAGCAAGCAGACACGGCAATGCTATTTGCTGGTTTGTGCACGGAACTGCTATTGGAGAGCTTCGACAAGCAATCCAACCAACCGACGGTAGGAAGGAACTGAATAAATTGATCAGTGCCCCAATATCTTGTCGGATATATCGCATCGGGCTTTAAAGGCTAGCAAAAAAGTCGAGAGTCTCAGCCAGAAGTAACAAATGAAATTTTAATTTAAATGGGAAATATTTATAAGAAAAGCTTCAGCTAATAGCATTCCACTTCTTACATCACATTTTGTGAGACCCTTTGGGCAGGGGATGATGTAGCTATACTCTTAAGAGGTTTGAAAGTTCTAAACCGAACTGAGCCAGAGTTGTTGTGAGGCACTATTGTTATAATAACAATTGGTATTGATACAAGCATACCCCAGCCAACTGTCACCATGTCGTCATCAATCTCTGCGCCATCAGAAACGAGGTGGTAGGTGTCTGTGTTTGCCTCCAGAAAGTCGCCCGCAATTTCCGTTTGCTATACAGTTGCAGGGCTTGGTGAGCTCGGCCTCGGTACGTGCCTTCTTCTCTCATAAATGCAATAAATAGGTCATGAAGGCATTAGGATACACGTTAGGCCCTCCTACAGGGAGCACCCTCAATGAACTTACGGGAGGACACATGCGCTCAGGGCCTAAGTGCAAGTCCCCATGCAGTTTTTCCCCAATTTGCCTGAAATAGCAGTCCTTGCCCTCCACTACAATGTGGACACAAGCAAGCGTAGCACCGGACCGTCACAACCGCTCAAGCCATTACACTGTCATTCTTGGCCCTTATGATTCGAAACTTAATCGGTTGGCGTCAATAATCACGGGACTTCGAAAAGGCACGACAACCATGTTCTGCCCTAAAAGCAGCTCAACTTCGTCCTCCTGGATATCAATCAAAACTTGAATCAGCGGCGCGTTAGACTGTATCGCTGTATGACGACCTTTTGGTGTCGTTCAGTACCAAACTGATGCTCCCGTTCCGTGTGGCAAGGACTCCAAATACGGTATTGGCTTGCACCATCCATAAGCGCGGCATGCCAGGGGTAACACTGTTCCCTACAGTAAAGCGACCGACACACTGGCTGCATCCACTGTGGAAGCAGGAGTGCATTCGCCCTCAGTATCTAACCTCTGAAGTCATGTATTGAGGATGTATATATGTCACTTAATCCAAAAGTGGTAGAATAACAGGTAAGTTGAGACATAGTTGAGCACGCATTGACGTCAGCACCAGGTATCAGGGAAAGGTAGGTCATGAACAGAGCATCCAATTAAGAATCTTACCGTCCCTCCAGGTCATACTGTTCCCTGCATGCGGGAGATTAAATCGAGTGAGATTCGCTTGTGCAGCAAGGAAGCACGGCAGCGTGAAATCAGTGGATCTGTTTTGCAATGTTGTGCAGGCTGACGTACTTGCAAAAAGGCAGGCTCTCTACGGGCACCGGCAATGCGAACGAGACCGAGTAGTATTACTCCGAGTAGAAAAATTAGCACGTAGTTCTTGCGAATAACTGGGCTGCGAGTATCCTCATATCCTTGCTGTTCTGAATTCTGCTGCGCCTGCAGTTCGGAATCCTGCTTCGGTGTGGAAACCGCCTGTTCCAGTTCCGCGACACTATTAGCCGAACTGGCAGAATTTTCACTGGAACCTGATGCTAGAACAGCCAGGAATGCCAGAGAAATGAGAACAGCGGATTTCGCCATCTTCGGGAGTTTGGGTGACATATACTGGACAGACTCGCTCAAATCCTTTGGCGGCCGGGAGGTACGACGCATGATAAATCACGCTTGAGGGAAGTCTGCATTATTGTGCGAAGGTAGCTTTTCTTGAAGGAGGAAATTATTAGTTATGATGAGTCTAAAGCATGCTCCGTTCTGAACGCCTTTCAGTAGTGAATTAGTGACCGGCGTCCCGCCAGGACCGACGGGGCTTTCTTACGACTGGACACGGCCGGGCCTGTTGTTGCCAAAGTTCAGTTAGTTTCCCTCAATATTACAAAATTACTAGTATCTTATCTTGTTGAACAAAAAATACCCAAAGAAGGTACCTCAGCTCTCTTCTTCGCACAGAGTGCAGTAGAAGATTACTCCGATGCGCAACCTCGTAGATGAGCTGTGTGCACACACTAAAACGTAGCTCGAGTAGCTGGAGATCTAGTCTCGAGGAAAAGAACAGTTATTACATTTATGAAGATAGAGTAGAGCACTTTAATTACTGATGAGGTCAATCCTACTAAGAGTTCCCACACCGCCGGCGCTGGCCCATTCGCACCCAGGGGGATCTGCCCTTCTTGGATGGGCCACTGAATTTGGACTCGCATATGTTTTACGGGTTGTCATTCCATTATTTGGGAATCTTTAGGGAAAATTCGTTGAGGTTCGACTAAAAGTACCAGGAGCGCAGCTGTCTCGTTAACACTGGAGCTACACACTATACCGGCTGGGTACGCTATTCACTGTATTTGGGGGCCATTCCGTGATATTTTTACCAAAGATCTCTTGCACTTCTGTTGAGCTGGAGACTGCTGCTACCATTAAGTTGTTTAGCAGAAAAACCCAGGGTGTCTCGAGGCACACGTGCAAATCCGCAACGGAAAGATCCAAGGCGGCGATCAAGGAGACCAAGATAGGAGAGAGCCTTGCTATGTCTCTGAAAGCGAAATGGGCATACATGAAGAAGAAACAGCCATCCCACAGTTCGCGAGACAACCCCACCGGAAGCTATGGGGCCGCCCTACAGAGCAGAACCCGACCCCTTCCGCCGAATCAAAGACCCCAATACACAACCGCAGAGCTTATCCGCGTGACACGATTTCGCCTGTCGTAGCTACGCACAACAGATATGCCGTTGATATAGTGCCCCAGGCCCGGGTTACTATGTGAGCTTTCCCTGCTTCTAGTACAGTTAGACTCAGTGAACGTACAGCTTGGTAACGCGAAATTAGGAATGACTGTATCCGCCAGAGCCAGTGTATCTGGGTTTTCACATGGCAGATAAAGGACAAGGCGAGTCAGAGGGGGCGGCCTCTCTCGTATTCCTACATCTTAATATGCTTGACACACTAATGCACTAATAGGACACCAAGACTTACACACTTGGTAGTAGCACTATGGGATTATTCAGACGCGTGAAGACGGTTGGCTAGACATCCGGGCGTGCCGTAGGAGTTGGAGCTCCCTCACATCCCCCTCTTACCTTTTTGCTCGAGGCGGCAACGCCCAACTCCAAACCTCAGCTATCAAATTTTCAATGACAGGGCGGGGATACCCCGCAGTGTGTGGAGAACCGAAAGACGCCAACGCTAAACTGGTGGCACCCTAGACTACTGGTTTTAACTGTGGGATATTAAGGTAGACATGTACTACTGGGCCTGAGTTAAATCCGAGATGCTCAGTAGATTCTGTGGGCTCTTGAAAGTCGCGTTGCTGCCACGGCTCGAGAACATCAAGTGGAAGGGCAACCCTGTGCAGTTCGCGGGTGAGTTTTTTCTGTTGTGAGTGAAGGGAGCCCAGTAGCACTTGATGAATTCGAGGGAAATTTTGATGACGTCCTACCCGTGAATACGGTTCTGGAAGTGGTAAATGACTTTTCCTTACCTGGCAGGAGGCGTCTGCCGAGATCAAGAATGTCGTGGGAACGAGAGACGGGAAGTGGACTGTTTCCCGGCAGACCCCGCAAATCCCGGTGCGGAGAAACTGGAAATGGGGGGTGGGGATAAGATGAATTTACTGGTAGGGAAAGCGAAAAAGGATGGGGCTAACGTATGCTTTGAATATAGGGGTATGGATTACGCAGCCGGGCAGTGCCCATCACGCAATGAGGCAGTACGGCGAACTTGCGAGAAGCGCAAAAGAGGCGGAGGTGTGGCACAGTATGCTAAGGACTGCCGGACGACTGACCAAAGATCTTCCGAGACACGGGATGGGGATAGTAGGCAGCCAATACGTCCTAGCGCAGGAAGGAATCCACGCTTAAGGCGTACTCGATACAGATGTCATAGGCGGGCTAATCATGGCAAAGGACTGCTACGTGCAGTTGCGACAGCACCTAATGACATTCAGTGTCTCCCCAGAGTTGTGGAAGAAGATGTTTGTTGGAGGAAGTGCAGCCAAGACAGAGGCTACAGAACCCACGGGGTGTCAGCAGGCATTCACGGGGAAGCGGGAGTTAGAGACAACCGGGGGACAAGTTGAGGAGGTAAGGTGTGAGCAAGATGACCACTGCGATGAGAAAGCAGTGGTGCCAGACGAGGTCTACAGACGGGAAGATAGAGGTGCTCTATCCGCGTGATGGAGAGAGACAGGTGTACAAGCAGATTCTAAGAAGAGCCATCTACTTTGTAGTGTGGGTAGAAGAGCACTCCTAAGAGTTGGCATAACGGGGAGTCAATGCGAGTCGCCCTTTTATACGGAGGCCACGCATACTGTTGAATGTTTGCAGCCTGATGTGAGGCGACTTCCAGCAGAGTGTATGTTTACGCTGGCTCACGGAGAGCAGTTGCGTATTGACCGTCTCGTAATGAGGTTGGCATTATGGTGTGGACCAGAATGTTTCACCGGAAGCTTCTTGGTAGACCGTATTCCCCACGATGTAGTGTTTGCGCTTGACTGTATGGCTGCTTGCTATTTCCAGTACGATAAGCTGCGAACGTAGGTGAATGGAACGTGGTGCGAGCTACCTGTACTCCGGAAGTGTGCAGAAGAACAATAGAGGGGCAGCACAAGAGACGGACGCCAGAGGCCCCGTGTAGAGCAGGCATACGACAATCGTCCAGCAAGTGGGAGGCACGTCGAAGGAAGAGGCCACAGCTCTACTACGTCCGCTTGGATTAGAGTCCCATGCGAAAGCGGGAGCGAAGGTGCCGATAGACTCTCTAGTTCAGCAGGCTACGACTAGCCTGCAGGGTCTTCCGCAGCCAATGCAGGGGTTGTACCACATACTGGCTTTACCTGAAGCCGGGGTAGTCGAGGAACTTAGTATTTTTGAACGGCAAGAGACGTTCCGCTGCTCATTGATTGGAAATAGCACCACATATGCTAGGACGGTAAGCCTAGAAACCCCGCTGTGTCGACAAACGATGAAGTGGACAAGGAGCCACCGTGAACAATCGCTCAGATAGAAGATCTCCAATTCGATGAGTGGGTGTGGTCGGCAGAGCCTTATGATATTTCCCTGGAAATAATCGTGGTGTTGCATGAACATCGGCTGGTCTTCCCTGATGCCGTACCTACCGGCGTGTTGCCGAACCTCCCCCACTATCGTCGTACTCTCCTTGTGCCTGAGAAGCTGCCGGCTATGTGCTATCTACCTCATAACACCAGACCAGCTGACTCTCCACGAACAGGAGGCAGCTAAGTTGGGGACTAACGAGTGGATAGGCTCTCCGTATTCCCCTGCATGTGCGCCTACGATGATGGTGGATACGCGAGGTGATGGCTCAGAGGAGCGGAAGATGCGGATAGTCGTTGATTACTCGGCACTCTTACGATACCCCCTGACATCCCACTGTCTCCTATTTAAACTATATAAGAGATGCTGGGGTGGGGTGGAGGGTGCTAAATGCTTTTCTACTCTTGATCTGGAAGCTGGGTTCCAACAGGCTCGCATGGCAAAGAGAGTTCGATGGACGACAGCTCTCGATCTGGAAGGTGGGTTCCATCGGACCCGCATGGTCAAGGGAGTTCGGATCCGTACGCAGCAGCTGTGAAGGACATAGCCACCTCTGTCCAGCTCGACTTCCGCAATCGACAACTTGTCGAATATGTTTTAAGGGTTGTTATTTGATTGTGTAAGTGCATTTAGTGAAAATTCGTTTAGTTGTGATTGAAGGTGCCGATAGTGCGCATATTTCGGGTACATTGGAACTAACCGTAGTATCGTTAGGGTACGCTGCTCACTACGTGAGAAGCCTTCCGACCTTCATATGTTGATGGCTGGAGACGTTACAGGCATTTTTCAAGAAACGCGTTTGTTGGAACAACAACGGTTTTTGGTTGGGGGCAGGAATTGTGCATGTTTGATCTCGACGCTGCTTCCAATTGCGGGTCACCGTGCCACAAGAGAGCATATCTTGATCATTCTGCATTGTGAAACAGACGCAAGCTGCTGAGACTTGGCAAACCCTTCCAGATTTCTCAAGACGCTTCATATACGTACTGTACTTGAAGCATTGGCAATATATTTAGGCCTATCCTTTTAGGGGCTATTCGGTTGGGAGGCAGGTCACTTGCTTTGGATATCTCTTACCATAAGTGTTAGAGGTCCAGTATTACGCTTGATCGCACCGCATCGTTCACGATGGATGGTAAACATCGAGCATCAAATCCACAGAAGTGTGGCCTTCTTCACTTTAGTGAGTAGGAACAAAGCCGCATCAAAAACCAAATCTTCGTCAAGCCCCAGCCTTTAACTTCTCGAGAAGAATGCAGGAGAATCAAGATATGTCCTCTGGTGGCAAGGTGACCCACAACTGGGAGCCTTGAGGAGATCACGCCAGTTCTGCGTCCCCATTCAAACGAAGATGTTATTAGAGCAAAAGCGTTTCATGGATAATACATTTGCCTTTGCTGGGCACCAGCATACGGTGGTCGGCGCGATACAGGGACTGTAGGGAATATTTTTGCCTCTCTACAGCTTTATTGATGTTTCCAGCACGCATAAGGACTACTGTTGCTATTGGCACTGTTGTTATTAGGAGAGGAGGAACAACGACGACAACTGTACCCTAACACGGGTAATTTTGTTTCCGGAGAGCATCCAGACTGTGGAAGCTTTCTGGCAGGAGCTGCGATATATGTTCAATCATAAGTCGGCACGGGAATAGGTTATGGCAGCGTTGGGGAAGGTTAAGTAAGGGAGGCTATCGACAGAGCATCATTTTTCATAGAGCACTGTGTGGATATATATCAGTCGGAGCAGAAGTCCAACTGTGGGTTCGGAACTCCAGTATCAACGATTCATAGAGGAGCTCTTCCTTGGAGAAAGAGAATCGAAAGCTGTCTAGGCCAGGAAGATGGAACTAACAGGTGAAGGGATCGACATCGCGGAGATGGAAATCATACGGGACAAAAGACGCATCTTCTGCTCCACTAGAAGAAAAGGAGAGGGAACTGTTTGAAAAGACGCAGATATTGAACAAGTGAAGGTTGGGCCTGTGAAGTCCACCGCAAAAGAAGGTGATGAAAACAGGAAACAGACAGCTTCCAGGGAAGTCTGCCCCGATGACGTAAAGACGGCCGCATCTGGTTCTTCTGCAACGATCAAGGTGACATAATGCTCCGTTGCAAACGTATGAAAACATACTGCCTTGGGAAACAGGGCTTTGAGAGGCGCCGCCAAGCGAATTAACGGTTAAGGAAATGATGCGGCCCCAGCAACCAACACGAGGTGCAGTGATGGGGCCAAAAGTGGTGACAGTTGCGTGCGCAGATTCTTTTGGAGTTACTTATGTGCTCATCCGAGTTCATATTGGTGGTAAAGGATTACTAGTGTTCTCGACACTGGTTGCGAAGTGGATATGATGATCAAGCTACAGCGGGGAGATGCAGTCTCCCAGTGCACTCAGTGGAGTAGTTTCTTCGGCTACGTGTCGCCCATGGCAGAGCGTACATGGCAATCGAAAACACTATGGGCCTAAAACGTGAGGCTAATTCATAAATTTGCCTTATTATCATGAGAGGAGACTTGCATGCCAGACCGTTCCACCACGACACAGTCCGTGGCATGCAGAGGATAACCTGGTGAATGGTGCTCGTGTGCCAGCCTGATGACTCCACTGATGTTTGCAGATGAAGCAGTTGCAACAGCTACAACAACAACAGCAGCAGCAGCTGGCTTCTGGTTATGATGGAGACACAATGGGCTATGGCACAATGGGCTACGGCATGTACGGTGGAGACACTCCCGAAATACACTCCAGAAATGCATGCGGAGGAAGACTATGGCATGCAGCTGTGGGGTCGCCCTCTTAGTGGGGTCCGGCTCTTAGGAAGAGTAATGACGATCGTGCTGCAGCAGAAGCAGCAGCAGGAAATGATGAGGAAGAAGATGATGATCTGCTGCAGCAGAGACAATTAGCAATAAAAAGAAGAAAGAAGTTGCAGCAAGCAGGCATGCATGCTGCTGCTGCTGCACCCCCTGTTGCTGTTGCTGCACCTCTTGTCGCTGTTGCTGCTGCTGTTCCTGTTGCACCTCCCCCTCCTGTTCCTGTTGCACCTGTAGTACCTGTTGCGCCTCCCGTTGCTGCTGTTGCTGCAGTCGCTGCTGTTCCTGTTGCACCTGTAGTTCCTGTTGTTCCTGTTGCTGCTGCACCTCCTCCTCCTCCTCCTCCTCCTCCGCCTCCAGCAGCAGCAGCAGGAAAAGAAGCAGTAACTCGTGTATGCCGAGAGGTAGAGAAGCAAATAGCAGCAACATGCACAAGAACAGTGGTAGGCCGTGAGGTGTATGCATGCATGCTGCAGCAGCAGCAGCCCGCATGTACAGCAACAAAAGTATTTGTACCTGGTGTACGTACAAATAAGGTACAGCAACAAATAAAAAGAGCATGCATGCATGCAGCAGCAGCAGCAGAAAGAAATAGTTAATGTTGCTGCTGTATGTATAAGAGAGAAACATATGCAGCAACTATACAAATGCATGCAGCAGCAGCAGCAAAAAAGGGAGAAACAAATATGTACATAGAAATAAATAAATTAATTAAATATAAATGTAAACAAATAGTATATAGGCCGCAGCTGACTATACACCCCAATACAAGAAAAATGCAACAAATTAAACCTGCATGCACAGCTACTACGCTGCTGCAGCAGTGCAGGCAGCAGAAGCAGCAGCAGCAGCAGCAGAAGCAGCAGCAGCAGGATGAAGAGGAGGAGGGAGAGGAAGGGGAGGAGGAGAAAGTGCAGCAACAACAGGAGGAGGAGGAAAAGGAGGAAAAGCAGCAAATGCAGCAGCAACAGCAGAAGGAAAGACGACTGCAGCAGCAGAAGCAGCAGCAACTGCAGCAGCAGCAGGAGGTAAACTGTTATGCAACAAGACTAATAAGAGATGAATATCCTTGTACTAAATATACATTCAGAACTGCCTGTACACCCCAAACACCACCACAGCAGCAGCAGCAGCAGAAACTGCAGCACAAGCAGCAAATGCTGCAACAACGGATACTGCAGCGAACGAAGCAAATGCAGCACACGAGCAAATGCAGCAAAGGCGGCAACTGCAACAAACGCAGCAAAGGCAGCAACTGCAGCAAAAGCAACAGAGGCGACAACTGCAGCAAAAGCAGAAAAAGAAATCTGCATAAAATAAACAAGAAGAATATAAATATATAATAAATATTTATTATCTATTATATTATTTGCAGCTGCCGCAGTTGCTGCAGCAGCAGCTGCTGGTGCTGATATTTTACGCCCTTATATCTGATCCTTTTACGCAGCAGCAACTGCAGCAGCAGCACAACCAATTCATGCAGCAGCAGCAGCACAACTGATGCATGCAGCAGCAGCAGCAGCACAACCGATGCATGCAGCAGCAGCAGCAAATACATGCACCAGACCTAACTGCAGCAGCAACGCATTGCACAGGTGCTGCATTCTTTGCTGTTGCAGCAAATATTGCAGCAGCAACAGCAACAGCAGCAAATGCAGCAGCAGCAGCAGCAGCAGGCTAGCTTAATGCTGCAAAGTCAGCAACGAACGAACAAAACTTTCCCCTTTTTTTAGTTTTAGTTAATTATTATTCATTTATTTACTTATTTTATTCACTTATTTGTTTATTTTATTTATTTATTTATTTGCTGCCTTTGTATGTCTCTATACAACTCAAATGGGCTTAAAAGTACAGCAGCAGCAGGAGCAGCAGCAGCAGCAAAGGCTGCTGCTGCTGCTGCTGCAGATAAAGGTTTAATCTGCTGCTGCTGCAGCAGCAGAAAATAAATATATAATCTCCAGCAGCAGCAGAAAATCCAGATTTTATCTGCTGCTCCAGCAGCAGTCGCAAATAAAGTTCAATCTGCTGCAGCAGCAGCAGCAAGTAAAGAATTAATCTGCAGCAGCAGCAGCAGCAGCAGCAGTTCTGCTGCTTGGTGTACGTTTGCTGCCCTTCCAGCATACAGGCAGCACGCCTGCACTCATTTGCTGCAGCAGCTGCTGCATTTGCTGCTGCTGCTGCAGTTGCTGCTGCTGCTGCAGTTGCTGCTGCTTTGGCTGTAGGACCTGTAAATCTATCATTTTTCGCCCCCGTTGCTGCCGCCACCGCCAATGCTGCTGCTGCTGCTGCTGACCGTGCTGATGCTGCTCCTCTGCAGCAGCAGCAGCATCACCATCAACGAATCTTACTGCTTGCTGCTGTAGCCATAGTGCCTCTCCTCCTCCAGGGGCAATGAATGTCTTTTGCTGCAGCGGCTGCTGCAGCACTGCGGTGTATAGACAGTGTCTTGCTTGCTGCGCTAGCTGCTGCTGATGATTAGCTAGCTGCTGCAGCAGCAGCAAGGCACCCTGCTGCTGCTGCTGCACGCGCTGCAGCCTGCGACTCTCCCGCGGCATACGCTGCTGCTCCTCCTCTTGCTCCTCTTCCTTCTGGCGCTGTTTTTGCCGCTGCTGTTCCTGCCGCTGCTGTTCCTGCCGCTGCTGTTTTTGCCGCTGCTGTTCCTGCTGCTGTTGCTGCTGCTGCTGCTGCAGGTCGGCATACACCTGAATTTCTGCTGCTGCTCTCCCTAACTGTTGGCAAACAGCAGCAACGTTCTGTCTAACAGTCCTCATGGGTCTCTCAGCAGGGTTCCACGTGCTGCTGCTGCTTCTGCTGTTGCTGCTGTTGCTGCTGCTGCTGCTGTTGCTGCTGCTGCTCCTGCTAACATTAAGTAGGTGCAGCAGAGGGAGGGGATTGATGTCTCTTTCTCTTAGTATAAAAGAAGTGCGGTGCAGCAAGAACTGCTGCAGCGACGACAGCTGCTGCAGTGCTGCTGCTGCAGGGCGGCAGCAAATTGTTGCTGCTTGCTGCAGCGCCAACAGTTTATCCTTCAGGTGTACAGATAACATACGCACGCCAGCAGGCAGCATTTGCGGCTGCTCTTGCTGCTGCTGCTGCTGCTGCTGTTTATCCTGCGGTGGAGCAGCTACCGTACGACTGGTGGGAGACCCCACTGCTGCTGCTGCTGCTGCTGCTCGTGTTGCTGCTGATGCTGCTGTTATGCCACAAGACGAAGGCCAAGGTCCGCGCCTTCTGGATACTGCTGCAGGAGGTGCAGCAGCAGCAGATGCTGCCGCTGCTGCAGCTGCTGTTGCTTGAATCCTTAGTGCAGCAGCAACGTCAACGAGAGTGCCGCAGCGACAGACAAGGTCAGCAGCCCATGCTGCTTCTGCTGTTGCTGCTGGTGCTGCTGTTGCTGCTGCTGCTGCAGTGTGCTGCAGTAAAGCGAACTGTGCGGGTCCAAGAAGTGCAGCAACACCTGTAGGACTTGCTGCTGCTGTTGTTGTTGTTGCTGCTGCTGTGATGGCTTCTCGTGCCATTCGCTGCACCAGGCTAAGCCGACGAGATACCTTAGCGCTGCTTAGCAGCAGCTGCTGCTGCGGTCTAGCAGCAGCAGCAGCAGCAGCAGAAGCAGCAACAGCAAGTAAAAGTGGGTTAGCCGTTCGCTGTGGACGTTGCTGGTGCTGCAGCAGATGCTGCAGTTGCTGCTGCTGCTGCAGCGGTCTGCTGAGTCCCCTGCGAACGGACGCCACTTCTGCATATATCTGCAGCGCCACCTGTGCTCTTTCTGCTACTGCTGTTGCTGCTGCTTGATCATTGAGGCGCAACAGCAGCAGCTCAGCAAGCAGCGCTGCCTGGGTAGCCCATCGGTGCGACAGAAACAAACCGCCTGCTGCTGCTGCTGCGGCGGCAGATGTTGCTGCTGTTGCTGCTGCTGCTGTTCCTGTAGCAGCAGCTGCAGCTGCTGCTTTGGAGGCTAGGCGGAGCTGCAGCAACAGGGTTTGCTGCGGCTGCTGCTGCTGCCGAATTTGGTACTGCTGCTGGGGGCCCCCCAGCAGCGCAGCAGCAGCAGCAGGGGCCCATTTGCAAGGAACAGATGCAGCAGCAGCAAAAAGCAGCTGCTGCGAATGCGGCTCAGCAGCAGCAGCAACAGCAGCAGGAAGCATCTGTGGCAGCACGCGATCTAGAAGCTGTGCTGCTGTTCGTGCTGCTGCTCTTGCTGCAGTTCCATCGGGCTCGGAGTGGCGCTGCAGCACAGAAGCAGCAGCAGCAACAACAGCAGCAAGCTGCTGCGGTCTCGACAGCTGCTGCGAATGCTGCAGCAGCTCAGCAGCAAACTCAGCTAATAGAGAATCCAGCAGCTTGTCCCCGTCTAGCTGCTGCTGCTCCTCCTGCTGCTGCTCCTCCTCCTGCTGCACCTGCCCTTGTTGCTGCACCGGCTTCTGTTCTTGCTGCTGCTGGTGCTGCTGCTGTTGCTGTTGGTGCTGCTTCTGCTGCTGCAGGAGGGTGACCAGCGGCTTAAGCTGCAGCTCAAGAGTGTCTGTTTGCTGCTGCAGTATTGAGTTGTACATACACCCCACTAAGGGTAGTCTACTTAAGGCAATATAAGCCCCTATAATGGTGCTGTTGCTTCTGCTGCTCGTGCTACTGTTGCTGCTGCTGCTGCTGGGGGGTTGAGGTAGGAGAGGCCACATCTCTGCCTTTTTGAAGACAGCAAGTTGCTGCAGCAGCAGAAGCAGCAGCAAAGCTGCCTCCTGCTGCACCTCAACTCTCTTCAAGGCGCCTCTTGCTGCTGCGTCGCCCATAGCATCCAGCAGCAGCAACACGTCCTCGCTGCTGTTATTGCTGCTGCTGCTGCTGCTGCTGTTGCTGCTGCTGTTGCTGTTGCTGCTGTTGTTGCTGCTGCAGTTGGCTGCAGCAAGGAAGAAGCGCTGCAGCGCATGCATGTGCCAGGGGTGGCAGCAAACGGGCAAGTCATCTAAGCCAGCAACAAAGTCTGACAACAGCGGCTTGCTGCTACTGCTGCTGCTACTGCTGCTGTTGCTGCGGCTTGTGGCGGGATGGCCAAGCAGTTGCTGCTGCAGATGGTGCAGCTGCTGCTCCTGAAGCGCAGCAAACCGTAGACTGGGTCTGCTTGCTGCTGCTGCAGCAACAACATCAACGAAGCGGAAGTGCTGCAGCTGCAGCCGCTTTGCTGCTACAGGAAGCAGCAGCAAATCATTCCCTTTTAGCTGCTGCGGCTGCTGCAGCAGCAGCAGCACAACCCTCAGGACAGTACGGTAGCTATAGTGCGGCAGCTGCTGCAGCTGCTGCAGCAGTAAACCCTTCTGCAGCAGCAAATGGGCACGACGTCGGAACTCACGAGGCGTCAGCGGCGGCTGCTTCTCCTGCTGCTCTTGCTGCTGCTCCTGCTGCTGCTCCTGCTGCTGCTCCTGCTGCTGCTGTTGTGCATCAGAGCTGAAACATCTTCTCCGAAGAGTTGCCGAAGCTACCACCGCAGCAGCAGCAGCAGCACCAGCTGTAGGAGTAGTAGTAAAAGGAGGATGAGCAACAGCAGCAGCAGCTGGCAGTTGCTGCAGCAGCAGCGTGCGTTGCCTTACTAGAGGAGCAGCAAAGCGAAGATTTGCTGCTGCTGTCTTTGGGGATCGGATCCCACAGGAGGCGTGCAAACCCCACAAATGCCTCATTGAAGCTTATTGCTGCTGCTGCTGATGCTGCTGCTGCTGTTGCTGTTGCTGCTCCTGTTGGTTGTGTCGTTACTGCTGCTGCGTGCAACGCTGCTGCAGATACACGGAACCTGCTGTTTCTGCTGCAACGGCAGGAGCAGCAGCAGCAAGGTTAGAAGAGGCTTTTAAAGACTCAATCGGCAGCAGCAGGAAACGCTGTACAGTTTGCTGCTGCTGTAGCTGTTGCTGCAGCCGAAGACAAAGCGTTGGTACGTGCAGCAGCAGCAGCAGAAGGTGTGTGGCTCCCACAGTGAGAGCAGTAGCAGCGGCAGCAACTTGCTGCTGCTGCCGCTGCTGCTGTAGAGATCATCGACGTTAGTTAGGGTGCTGCAGCAGCAAATAAAAATTTTTGCTGCGCAGGTACACGTCGTCGTCGTCGTCGTCGTTTATTATCATACGTTATACTTAAAGAGTTGTTTAATTAATTAATTAGCTGCTGTTGCTGCTGTACTTTCTGCTGTTGCCGCAGTGTCGGCTACCCTTTCGGCCGTTCCCGCTGCTGCGCAGGTACACGTCGTCGTCGTCGTCGTCGTTTATTATCATACGTTATACTTAAAGAGTTGTTTAATTAATTAATTAGCTGCTGTTGCTGCTGTACTTTCTGCTGTTGCCGCAGTGTCGGCTACCCTTTCGGCCGTTCCCGCTGCTGCAGCTGCTGCTGCAGCTGCTGCGCGGGGCTGCAGCTGCAGGTTGTCTGTGGTGTATAAAGGAGAATTAAGGAAAGAAAAAGGGAATAAAAATAAAATAAAAAAGAAGAAAAAATAATGCATGCATTTTCATGTGTATAAACACCTCAGAAACATTGTGAGCAGCAGCAACAACAGCAGAACGAGCAGCAGCAAGCGCAGCAAAGGGTCAATTTATCGTCAAATTTCCAGTAGAAAGTATTCTGCAGCAGCAGCAACAGCAGCTGCAACAGCAGCAGCAACGCCTTTTTATTTCTTGTGTCTAGCTGCTGCAGCTACCGCTGCAGCAATAAGAGGCTGTTGCTAGGGCAGGAAAAACAGCATCAGCAACAGCACCAACAACTGCAGCAACAACAGCAACAGCACACGGAGCAACGGCAACAAGCAGCAACAGCAACAAGCGCAGCAGAAACAACACAGCCTGTTGCGGCTGAAGGGGCCACACGGGAGCAGCAGCAGCAGCAACAGCAGCACCGGCGAAGACAACTGCCGCCGCAGCAGCAGCAACAGCAACAGCAACTGCAGCAGCAACAGCAACTGCAGCAGCAGCAATGAATTCGGATGTGCCATTGAGGCCTTGTGAGGCCTTAGCTGATGAACTCTTTGCCACTGTGGTAAGAAGACCCTAAACCGTAAACCGTAAACCCTAAACCCTACAAACCCTAAACCCTAAACCCTAAAATTATCCCTATGAGGTTTTTTTTTTCCTTTAAGGATTTTTATTATTCTTTAATCAATTAATTAATATAACTAAATTTTATTAAATAACTAACTAAATAAATAAAATAAATAAATAATAGTATAATATGCTGTTGCTGCAGGGGAAAGGAGACACAAGCTTGCTGCTGCAGTGTCTGCAGCAGCAAAACCCCGCACTTACTAATTATATAATTTGCTGCAGAGATAAGGATGAGAGGACTTTGCTGCATGCAGCAGCAGCAGCAGCAAATGCAGCAGCAATTGATTTGCTGCTTGCACATAAAGCTGATCCTGCTGCAGTTGATGAAGTAAGTTGACGTCTTGCTGCAGCAACTGCTGCTGCTTTTGCTGCTGTTGCTGCTGCTGCTGTTGCCTTTCCTGCTGCTGCTGGTATCGCTGCTGATGCTGCTGCTGCTGTTGCTGCTGTTGCTGCTGTTGTTTCTGCTGCAAGTTATTGATACTGTTTTTATTTATTTATTTGTTTTATTTACTTATTTTATTTATTTATCTATTTTATTTACTTATTTTTTTTCATTTGTTGCTGTGTTTAGTCCTCAATGACTCCGCTGCATATTTGCTGCGCCGTTGGATGTACGGGGGGTGCAGCGGCAATACTGCAATATATAGGAAATCCAGCAGCAGCAGCAGCAACAGCAGCAGCAGCAGCTGCTGCAGGTGCACATGCAGCAGGAGATGCAGCAGTGGCAGCCGATGCAGCGGTAGGAAAAGCACAGAATGCAGCAGCAGCAGGAGCAGCCGAAGATGCAGCAGCAGCAGCAGCAGAAGATGCAGCAGCAGCAGCAGCAGCAGAAGCAGCAGCAACAGCAGCCGCCGCCGCCGCCGCAGCAGCAGCAGATGAAGATAAACCCTCAATAAAAGATGCAATTAATAGTGTTACTCAATCAGGAGGAACTCCTCTTCTTTATGCAGCATCTAAAGGTACCTACAAACCCTAAACCCTAAACCCTTAAATTAATTAATTGTGTATATTTTTTCGTTTTATTTCTTTTTATCTTTTCAATTAAGCCCTAAACCGTAAGCCCTGAATTTTGCTGCATTTGCTGCTTTCTTGCGGTGTTTATACAGGACATTTAGACATTGTTAAACTGCTGCTGCAGCACGGAGCAGATGTTAATAGAAAAGGGTTTGGCAATGTAGGGCTTAGGGTTTAGGGTTTAGGGTTTAGGGAATAGGGTTTAGGGGGTTCAGAAGGTGCCGTTTAGGGTTTATGGTTTGCTCCAAAGCCTGCTGAACTTGAAGCCTTTAGAGTTGGGGGTTTAGGGTTTAGGCCGTTTGCTGCTAGTGCTGTTTAGGGTTTAGGGTTTAGGGTTTAGGGTTTATGGTTTGGGGTTTGTTGTGCAGCATACTGCGATTTGCCGCGCAATAACTGCTGGGAGAAAATCTGTTGTTCAATTTCTCTTGGATGTGCCGGGGATTGATTTAACTGTAAACCCTAAACCCTAAACCCTAGATGCTAAACCCTACTAGACACTAAACCCTTAACACAAAACCCTTGTCTGCTTAATGCTTGCAAACCCTAAACCCTAGATGTGCACGGGGTGGTGTTTTGTTGTTGCAGGTAAAGGAGACAGGATCAGCAGACAACCTCTTACACTTGGCTGTTGTAGGCCCCAACCCCTAAACCCTAAACCTTCTAAGTTCACGGTATTCGTTTTGTTGCAACTCATTGTTTGTTTGCGTGGCTATTGTTTATGAAATAAGTACAATATTAGTACGCTTTAGGGTTTAGGGTTTATAGATTAGGGTTTACGAATTAGGGTTTAGGGTTTCTAGGGTTTAGGGTTTCTAGGGTTTAGGGTTTGGGGATTGCAGAATTCTGGCTACGCGGATATTTATTGGGATATCGCTGATCGAGCGCCTGAACTTGAAGACCAAAAAAATAACGTTAGACAATCGTAAACCCTAAACCCTAGTAACCCTAAACCCTAAACCCCTACCGTACCCTTTTTTTTTGTTTACTTGTTTTGTTTTTTATTTACTTATTTTATTTATTTATTTATATATAGGATGGTTATACGCCAGTGGGTATGGCATCAAGTTATTTCATGAAGGAATTAGAGCAGGAATTTAAGCGAAGAAAAGAAGAAAAAAATACAGAAAAAGAATAAAGTATATAATTTATTTATTGATTTATTAATAAGTAGATATTTATATTTAATTCCCTTTCTTTTCCTCCTTTTTATTTTGTTTTATTTATAATTAAAATAAAAAGAAAACACTTTTCTTTTCCTGTTTCTTTCTTTCTCTTCTATTAACCAACAAACAAAACTTCTTTTTTTTCTCTTTTTATTTAATATTATTTATTTCTTTTCTGCTGCTGCTGCTGGTATCCCCGTTAGTGTGTGCTGGTGCTGTTTGCTGCTGCTGCTGCTGTTATTTGCTGCTGCTGCTATTTGCAGCTGCTAGGTATACCTGTCTGTCGTTAATCATGCCTCCTACTCTCCTTATCAATCTCCCCCCACTACTATTCCTGCCGCTTCCTGCTGCCTGTTGCTGCTCTGCTGCCTTTGCTGCTGCTGCTGCAGCCAGAGAGCTGGTGCTTGCCCCCAGCCCTCTGCTGCCACCCGTAGAGGAGGCAAAAACTTTTTCGTCAATTCTTTTTCTTTTTTTCTTACGAGCGCCCGGCGCAGTCGCGTTTACCCTCCTGCGGAGAATCGTTGTGGTGTTGCAGTAGAAGGGAAGGGACGGTGGCGGATATATGAAAGTAGAGGGCAGCAGCTGTTGCTACACAGCAGCAGCAGCAGCTGCTGCTGCTGCAGCAGTATGGCCCCCCTCGAAGCCCCCCGCAGTACGAAATGTTAGTTAGCTAATATTCACTATACGGCTCATATATGCACTATCTAGCAAGAAATAACTGAACAGGAACAGGTACGTACATCTTGTGGAATGGCGAACTAACACGGTTGCCCTGTATGCAGTGACGATGGCTAGGTAGGCCTTTCTTGCTTGGCTGTGCAGACGCCGCCGCATGCAAGAGAGGGTAAGGAAGAAACATTAAGTAAAATTAGCCGAGTCTAAGCAAAAGGGCGGCAAAGAGGAAAGAGGATTATCTGCTATTGTGCGGAGCTCTTAGCGTATTTCTTCCTTACCGGGAAGAAAGCCGCATTATAAGGAATTAATATCCTAAATTAAAACGTAATAAATATACATATATGTACAAAAATAATAAGTAGCCTCTCCTTTTGGGGGCTAAAGGGGAAACAACAAAAGGCATAATGCCGGTAGTTTATAAACAAATATATTAGGTGTATACAATACATGTATACAACATTGATTAATAATAGATATCCTATTAATACATACTCACTGGATATACAGAAAGCAAAACGAGCAGCAGAGCTGAGCAGGCAGTGCTGCAGCTGGAGTCGTCGCCACATTCGTCGTGTGTAGTATGGATGCTATTGATGCTCTAGTTGAGCAGTTGGATCTCTAAACCCTTATAATTGAGGGTCTAGTACAAAATAGTCATTGTCTTACTCCTATGCAAGGAGGCTACAGGCGTCCTGGCTATACGGGGAGAGAAGTCAATCCGCACAAAGCCATGCAAATCACCAATCGCGCAACTGCCAAGTAGCCCAACATGTCTGTTTAGCAGAAATCGCATAATTGAGTACTTTCCCGATTAAAGTATAAAGAAGAAGGCATTACTCCTCCTGTACGATGTAGGTTGTTAACCAAGGCGTTAGTGTGTATCGGCACAACTGACACATAACTAAACAGGGGTATAGAGGGTGCTGCACAGTAAAAGCCCCGTAACAAACATACGTCCTGGATATTCCCCATAGAACAGCGCAAATCATGACAATCATGAGAAGTATAGCTGCGCAAGACAACAGCTGAGCATCCGACTTCATGTACTGCGGGCAACACCAGCTGCCGTGTGGCATGTGGGTAAGGCCGCAAGTAAGTAGCGCCCCTCCACGCTCTAGACTAGCCTCTACCTTCTAGACGAGCCGCCAGCTTTTAGGCGGATAGTAAATCGAAGAAAAGAACGCTTCATACGCTTTCTGCATACGAAACGCGTCAGGTACATACTGGATGAGGGATACTCGTGCTGCAGACACATGGCCCGGCATTTAAGCGCAAGCACTTCATTACCTAGCTGCTACCTCATCTAGCTGTCCTATCTTAGAAGCTCTGCTATGCTGGCACTTACTAGCTGTAGCGAGTAAACCACTACGCAGAAGTTGCTGAAGGCACGCAAGGTAATAATGGTGAGTAGTAGCTCCAGCCCAGTCGTTAGCTCTACCCCAGTCGTAGTTCCATATTTTGCTAGTCCAAGCGGCACCGCGGTTTGCACTCCGGGCACCGCATTGTCAGAGAGACCGCCACCCAACCTAGACAGCTGTTTCCACATGGGACGCCTGCTATCGGAGAATTTCTACGTACTTTCTACGTCTCACATGGAATACTCCCTTATTCTGTGGAGATGCCTCGCGGCTAAGGAATATAACGTCAAGCATGGGCCATTCATTTGCTCGTGCCGCAAGCCGCAAGGCAGAGTGCTCTCCCGTAGAGGAACTTCATTAGTCACCTTACAACATTACGAATGTGGAGCCAGCATAATGCGCGTGAAGAACAGTTGTAACCACTTGCATTTTCAACTCACAAACTGATCAACCAAAAGGGCGAATACTGCTGAACTGAAAAGTTGATATATCGCATGTGCTCTGAAGGTCCTGGCAGCGCATTCCCCCAACGTCCTGAGCATACCTAAGCTTCCTCTTTGCACGAAACGATATATATGGCGTAGACGACAACTCGGCGGAGCAATGCGTGGAGCGCGAAGCCGTCTGCTATGCACAGTTGTTATTGTGTTCCGTTCGCCAGCAGGTTTGTATCGCACCGTCTTATCACATGCCCTTGAGAAGGCGTAACACAGATGATTGAAGCGTTCTGACTGCCCGAAACCTCTGAACTATTCAACATGAATAACTGGTGTTTTCCTTCTGTGCTTTAAATACGATTTCATAAGAGTGCGCTTATTTCAAGCCCATACTCCCTGTGCCAAAGTCAATTCATCCACCGAACAAGGAAACACTCATACCACACAGGCATACTCGCTACTGAGGGGACATCAAAGAGCCATTAGTCGTTGCAGCTCTCTACACGGTAGTTGCCTACAATGTAAAAAGGTGATCTGCTAACAGAATAGAGCTTGCACGAACCTCGTACAAGCGATGTGGATATAAAGCACACATTTCACACAAGCGTCGTGATGGATCCCGGGTCTCGTCAGACTCACTGCCTAAGAAATCGAACGCTTTCAGCTCCTCCTATGAGTGGGATCTATAGGAAATCTTGGAGGAGCTTCCAGTTGGGCTCCTGTGAAGCTCCAGAATCCCCCGTAGTTGATGGTGATTTATTAGGGC